CCCGACTTTGGAGCTGACACCGTGAGAAAACCCACGCTCCGATGAGACGCAGGTTAGACCCGCGGGGTCGCCGACCCTCCTCCCGCCCGTCCCCTGCGCTCCCAAACCCCGCCCCTTCAGCAAGGCCAGCCCTGTTTACCCCGTCCCCCCCTCACGTTGAAGGCTGGCAGCTGCCCTTCTGGCGCGCGATGCAGCTCGCGAACCAGCTCCATGGCCTTTTCGCAGAACATATTGTACACGCCCCGGTCCCGATGTCTCGTTAACCGCCGGCTCTCACGCCAAACGGTCGCCGGGTTCACGCACACCGCTCTGGGTATCCTATGGCTTCCAGTCGCACAGGGGCGAATACTCGCCTCCGCCTCTGCTTCGCTCTTTGGCGCCAAACATGCCCAGCCAATAGAAAAGCGCTCCCGGGCCTCGCGGCCTACGGCGACGGCCAAGGGACAGTTGCCTCCGCTGCGCAGCCGCACTGTAAGAAGGGTGAAAGCCTAGGAAGGGTGCACCGGCGCATCCTTTCCTAGGGAAACCTCTGCAGCTGCGGGAGGATCAGCCGGCCTGGGGTCCAGCCTGTAGGCTGCGCAGAGGCTCTTTTTTTTTGAAGCGCAGCTCGCACTATATGCATATCTCGCAACTTTTTTCCATTCGATTCATTCATTTTCGTTTAGGTTCAACGGGGTTCTACCCTGAGGTTGAGAAGGAATGCTCAGAAACTTGGTGTGCTTAATGACGCAGCATTTTAGTTTTGCAGTGTGGGTTTTTGTTCGATAGAAAAGGGAAACCACTTTTATTGGATATCTCCTGTGTGATAGGGACTGTGACATATATTTCCTTTAATTCTCATGACTAACCCTAAGGAGGCTTTTAAGACTCTTGGTACTGATTAGAAAGCAAGCTAAAGAACTTATTCCTCTTCTTTTTTTAAGTAGGCTCCATGACCAACATGGGGCTTGAACTCAGGACCCTGAGATCAAGAATTGCAGGTTCTACCAAATGAGCCAGACAGGCGCCCCAACAACTGAATATATAATTTACCCAAGTTTACTCAGCTTCTAAAGTGACAGACTCTGTATTTAAGCTTTCAGCCCTACAAAATCACCTTTGATTTTAAAGGAGTCATTTAAAAACATTTGGGAAATAGCTCTAATCACGAAGTCTACAAAGGGGGAAAATACCCAGATTAACACAAATTCACACAGCCATAATCCTACCTACTTGATTATGGAAATTTTCGTAACCATATAGAATCAAAGGTGGAAATTACTGCTATAAAAACAATTTGTTTTATTTGGCTACCTTTTAAAAAGCAGTATTTTTAAAAAGCTGAGGAGGGGTGCAGGGGCGCATCCTTCCCTAGGGAAACCCCTGCAGCCGCGGGAGAATCAGCGGTATTTAAAAAGCAGTATTTTTAAAAAGGAAATATTACTGGATTCATTCTAGCTAACCCTAGAAACTATGTTCCTCTTTTGCAAATAAAGATCAACAGATGTGTAATCTGAAGAATGAGCATGGGAATGGCCTACAAAGCCTTTAAATCTTTAAGTGGAGTGACATTTCCTTTTCAGCTCTACAGTCAGGGATAATTTAGCTAAGTTTTGTTAAATACACAGATCTATAGTGGACTGTGCTACAGGATTGTATTCCAAAAATCGCCAGTATCCAAACAACCTTCATCATAAACCTTTTTAATTTCAGATCCTGGGCCTGAGATTCATTTCTTTACCTGTACAATGGGGACAACAGTACACACTTCTGAGGCGTTGTGGTGATTCATTACTCCTTCAGCAAATATTTAGGAAGTGCTTACTATATACTGAGCATTGTTCTAGACACTGAAGATAAAGTAGTGAACAAACTATGTTCACAAGTCTATGTTCCACTGTGGGGTACTGATGATAAATATATTAGTGAAAAGTGCTAAGGAGAATAAGCCAAGGCAGGTAAACAGAGTGATGATGAGAGGACCTGAGGGTTTTGTTAGTGTTCAGAGAAGGAACAGACCTGCAGTGGGGAGGGAGTAAACCATGTGGAGATGGGGCCATAGGATGGGCAGAGAATTTCAGGCAGTAGGAATGCAGGTGCAAAGGCCCCAACGAGGGGGATGGATGACTCACACACATGCCACCCACACCTCTCCTTGGAGCCACTGCTTCAGCAAGGAGGCAGTGACACTGGAGCAGAGTAAGGGAGGGAAACCCTGGTGGCTGAGATCAGAGTGAGAGCTGGAGGCCATGTCAGGTAGGACACTGTAGGCCCTTTCACAAGCTTTCTGTTTTATTTTCAGTGAGATGGGAAACCATACAGGTATTTTGAGCAAACAAGTGACAGCACTGGACCTACATCTTTAAAAAGAACTTTCTGACAACTGAGTTTAGTAGACAAAAGTTGGCAAAGGTGGAGGCAGGAGACCACTTATGCTATTAAAATAATCCATGTGAGAGAGGATGGCAGCTTGGGCCAGGGTGTGGATGGAGGAGTTGGTGAGTAGTGACTGCATCCTGGATAGATTTTGAAAGGAGTGCTAATACAGACATAAAAAAGGGAGGATTCAAGGATGATCCCAGGGTTTTGACCTAAGGAAATTTAAGTGTAAGTTTGCCATTCCTGAGGTGAGGAAGGTTACACATGGAGCTGGGGGTGGGAGAAGAGTTGGGAGCTCAGTTTTGAACATAATAACTTTAGGTGCCTATAGGATATCAGAGTGGATGAGTAGACCATTAGGTAGAGGAGCCTGGAGTTCAAGGAAGGGGTGTGGACTAGAGATACAAATGTGGGCATCACCAGTGCAGGATAGTATTTAAAGACCATACAGAAAGTCAATGTGGAATATTAGGGAGCAAGAATTTCCTGTCCCCTTAGAGGTCCTTCTGCTGTACTAAGAATCAAATTGATATGAGACAGATTAACAGGAGAAAATCGAATTTAGTTTCCTACATACAGGGAATCCACACTGACATGGAAATTCCAAAAATAGGCAAAATAAGGTATACATATTATAAAGTTATATATAAATATATAAATAAATTAATATAAATATACATACGTATATTAACCTGAACTAAGGAGAATCAGGTAGGGGTAGAAGGGAAAGAATGCAAGTCACAGGGCAATAAGAAGAGATGTTTGGTAATTAGATGCTTGCTTTGACATATAGGTGGGTCACTCAGATAAAATTTTTTTCTGGTAATAACCATTATTCTGGGAAAGACCCCAATTTAGATTCTTCTATGTAGTCAAGGGAGGGGCAAACAGTTTCTTCCATAGGGAGGAAGTCCATAGGGTCCTGATTGCCTTTAGCTCAAAATAATCTTCAAGACAAAGTGGCCAACCTTGGAGCTGCCTGGCCCTTGGCCCCTATAGGACCAACAGTCGAGGACTGTATGGGCAAGGCCTAATGCCAGCCAGACTCAATAATCCTCACATTTCTCTCTTCTCAACAGCCCTCCCTTCCTTGTTTTTTTTTTCCTATTAAAGAGGATTTTGTGAGTGATAGGGTCAATTTTTTCTTTAAACTTCAGTTTCTGGATTCCTAATCTCCAGTATGTGCTAAAGAATTCACCATTTTGGGGCGCCTGGGTGGCTCAGATGGTTAAGCGACTGCCTTCGGCTCAGGTCATGATCCCAGGGTCCTGGGATCAAGCCCCACATCGAGCCCCACATTGGGCTCCTGGCTCAGCAGGGAGCTTGCTTCTCCCTCTGCCTCTCTCCCTGCTCATGCTCGCGCTCTCTCTCTCTCTCTCTCTCTCTCTCTCTCTGTGTCTCAAAGGAATAAATAAAATCTTAAAAAAAAAAAAGAATTCACCATTTCAATTCTAAAAGAGTATTTGGAGATATCCACACAAATATGAATGCTGGTTGTGATATTTTTTGTAACACAGTCAATGAAATTCTTTCGCAATTTAGATCTATCACTACAAAGCTAACAGAAGGAGCTAGTGAATTTCTAAAGGCATTTCTAACTGATCTTAAATTATCAGTTGCCAATAGTTTTCAACTGACAGAAATGTTGAACGAAAGTTCACTTTGTGATAAGTAAGCAAATCTCTTGGTTGTAGATCCTTTGTAAGAAAGAATGCCAAGCTGTAAAACTAAAGTTCAATTAGTTCTTAACTTGGGTTCACAAGTGTAAATTTATCTTTGAAACAGATTTTTTTCCCCACTTTTTTTTTTTTTTTTTTAAGATTCTTAAGTAATCTCTACACCCAACCTAGGGCTGGAACCTACAACCCCAGATCAAGAGTCTCCTGCTCCACCCACTGAGCCAGCCAGGCGTACCTCCACCCCTGCTAGTAATTGCTTTACAAAAATCTAAAATCAAATACAAGTTTTAAAAAAAGTAAATTGTTTAATGAGTTCAGTTTTCAAATGTTCAGCCCAAAACTTAAAAAATTAAATTATCTATATGCTTGTGTTAAAAAAAAAAAAGCACCTGAGAGCATATTTTTTTAAGTAAAATCTTGTGGGAAAATAGTTATAAATCATGAGAATGGTGATTTGTTACCTTTTGCTTTTTGTTCTCATAAACCATTACAGAATCGTTTCCGAAGGGTTCATTCACATTGGGTTTTCAGCATTAGGGAAAAATCACACAGTCTGGGGCGGGAGAGGAAGAAGCCAGCTTTCCTCCGCGGCTCTGGTTCGTTGGGTGCTTTCTAGCCGGCGTCCTCCCACGTTCGAGCCACTGATCTGGGGCAGGACCGTGTGCGTTTGCTCATGGCGCCGAGCACCCAGGTAAAGGAAGCCCTCCCACCTGCGGCGACAGAGCCCAGACCCTTCGCCACCACCAACGATAGATCGCCTGGCCCGTACCGGACCGTAACGCCCCGCAAGGCTTCACCTGCCCTTCTCCAAAATGGCTGAAAGTCGGCGCCGGGGATGCCGGGCGCGCTCCCGGCGGAACGAAGGAGGGGGCGGGCCGGGGGCGGGGCCGGTGGGAGCACGGCGCTGATTGGCTGGCGCTGCCGACCTGGTCCCCGGCGCCGGTCCGTAGAGCCGGGCGGCGAGGCCTGGCGCTGGGATGCGACTGGTTGCGGGCTCCCGGCGGCAGCGGCTCCTGTGAGTAGCGGCTACTGCAGCGCGGGCGGGCGGGCGAGGTCAGCGGACGCCGTCGGCGGCTGGCCGTCTCGGCCGCGGGATGAGGAAGCGGACCGAGCCCGTCGCCTTGGAGCATGAGCGCTGCGCCGCTTCGGGCTCGTCCTCCTCCGGCTCGGCTGCCGAGGCGCTGGACGCCGACTGCCGCCTGAAGCAGAACCTGCGCCTGGCGGGCAAGGGGCCGGCAGAGCCGCGCTGCGCCGCGGACGCGGGCATGAAGCGGGCACTGGGCAGGTGAGGCACGGCGCAGGAGCGGGGCCCCCTACCTGGCCCGCACGCAGCCCTTAAGCCCCCCGCCCCTCCATAAGTTTCTTGCCTGCAGGAGCGCCCCATGTCTACCCTCCATCCTTCGGTGTCCTCTTCCAATTCTCCTCCATCCCTTTCCCTCGCTTGGCCCGCAGATGCAGCCCGTGGGCATCCTTTCCAGATATCTGCCTGCGGGGTCGCCCCCCGACTGTCCCCTTTCCTCCCCTGGTGTCCTTTTCTGGCCCTCCGCGGAGCCCAGCCCCGTGCCCCTACCATTCCCAGGTGAGCCAGTGGGACCTCGTCCGCGACGGGCTGGACCAGCGTTTCTCCCAGGGGCTGGGAGCGGCGGGCAATCACGACCCTGCGTGGGAGAGTAGAGGGCGTGGGGGGCGTCCCATGTGAGGCTCCTGGACGCCCCGCATGTAAGAGGTGGGACGCGGAAGGGGCATGCTCCCGAGCCAGAGAGCGTTGGGATTCTTCGCCTCAGATCTGCATAGAACCCCAAACTGAGCGCCCCTCTTGCTGGGCTGGCGTGTGCGGAAGCTTACCTTTTTCCCGGTTTCTCACTTTGGTAATTTTTCTCGGGTTAACTAGTTGTCAGGAGTGGCATTCTCTGCTCAGAACTGCTGGACCTTTGGGGCAAGGTTAAATGGTGTGCTGTGGGCAGGGATACACCGCATCGTCAGCTGTTGGAGGGAAACCTGCCGTTGATTGTGCAGATGGCTAGTGGTGCTTGAAATTGACTACACGAGTTGTCTCCTTAGGAATCTCTGTAGAGGCAGGAAGTCTTTTAGTTTTTTGCGTTCTCCCTCTGAGTAGGAGATGAATGCATCCAGGTAAAGCTAATTTCAGAATTAAGTTAGTGTATTTCACAGGGACAAATCTCTCCCTCAATGCTAGCTTCGTAATTAAGCCGGCTCTTCATAGAACGTATCATTCATGACAATTTTGAAGTCTGGATGTTTCACGGTTTTGAACAAGTTAGTACGTAATATTCTCAGGTGCTGTTGCAGAGTCATTTCTTTTGGGGTCAACTGGAATGCCCTTAATTGACACTGGCCACTTCAGTGTCAAGTATTTATCAAAATAGTCTCTAAAAATATCAGTTTCATTGCCTAAAAGATGATGAAATTGAAAATATGAATATTTGGATAAATAAAAATATAAGTATTTGGATAAATAGAAATATCCAAATAGACACTTCAGCATTTCAACTTCATTGCTTAAAAGGTTATGAATTTAAACCATAGTCTCCTCTAAGTCAATGGTTCACATTCTTGCCAGAAGGTCAGGGACTGACAGTATTTTTTTTTTTTTTTGTATAAAGTTATCTAGTAACTGGTCGATATCTTTTGTGAAACTAATTTGTTCTCTTTTTTTGTGGAAAGGTTTATCTTCATTACAAACTTATGAATAGCTTTAATGTACTTTTGTTAACCGGTTTGGCATTATACCTAGATAAGTTTGGGAATTCTTCCTTTGAAGAAATGAAATTGTTAGGCACCATAGTGTTTGGGGAAACAGTGCTGACCTGGCACCTTCCTCGAAAGATGTACTGTATTAAAAGGATATGCTTATTTTCATTTTTGTATTGGGACAAAGACATTCAAGAGGTGCTCATATCCTTTGGAGGAATGAAAGACTATTAGGGAATAAAAAGAAAAGCAGAGGGCAGGAAAGCCAAATTTGTGTGTTATCCTGTGGCTTCCTTCCCTATTTCTTGGAATGTTCTCCTGGACATTCTTCTGCTTTGTTTTCTTCTTCACCTAGATCTCCGCCCAACTATCACGTCCTCAGAGAGGCCCTCCCAGTCCGGCCCATCCAAAATAGACTTGTTGCCACTCCCAACGCCCTTATTCTGTTTGCTTTTTTTCATCACACTTATCTCTTTTGACCTTGCAGTTGTCTGTGTACTTAACTTGCTTTATTGGTTATCTCCTCCCCTAAAAGAATGGAAGCCCCATGAGAGCAGCGGCGTTGGTTCCTCCACTTTTCTGGTCTCCAGTGCATGGCCATAGCAGGTGGCGGAAAATACTTACTGAATTAGTATCTGTAGTGTAAGTTCCTGGGCCAAGGAGTGTGTGTTTATAATTTTGAAAGGTGAGGCCAAAGTGCCCTCCAGTGTACTGACGGGTACTGGGTACTTTCCCCAGCAGAATCAGTTGCCACCCTTCCCCCCAATACTGAATGTTACCAAGTATTTTGATCTTTTTTCTATTTGATGAAAATGACATCTGATTTGTAGCTTTAATTTGCATTTCTAAGTGTTAGGTGGCAATTTTTGTGTATTTTTATAAGCCTGTTGTGTACCTTTGGGTCTCTCATTACCTGCCTTTGTTGGGTTCTATTGTGCACATTTTCAAATAGACAAAAATAAGGAAGACAATATAATGAACCTTGATGTATCCATCACATCTTAAACAGTTTGCCATGTGTTGCCAATCTTGAACCACTTGTCCCTCCTCCCTCTGTTTCTTCGTAGGGGGTGGGACTAGAATATTTTAAAACAAATGATTTTATTCATAACTACTTGGGAACTAGAACAAATAGGGACTTTTGAAATATATATAACCTCATTTGCTCTATTTATCAAAAATTTTTTAAATATTATATTTATTTGAGAGAGAGAATGGGAGAGAGAGAGAGAGCATGAGAGGCGCGAGGGTCAGAGGGAGAAGCAGACTCCCCGCCGAGCAGGGAGCCCGATGCGGGACTCGATCTCGGGACTCCAGGATCATGACCTGAGCTGAAGGCGGTCGCCTAACCAACTGAGCCACCCAGGTGCCCCCCAAATTTTTTATATTTATCAAATTTAACAATTTATTGCCTATTACTAATTTAATATCCAATCTACATACACATTTCTCCAGTTGTCTCAGAAATGTCTTTTAAAATGTGGTTTGTTTAAAAATCCTGTACATTTCTTAAGTTTATTCCTAGTTATTTGATCTTTTTTGTTGTTGCGTAGGACCCCTTCTTATATTACATATTTTTATCATTGTACTTATTTTTTTTTAAGATTTTATTTCTTTATTAGAGAGAGAGAGCGCACAAGTAGGGAGTGCAGCAGGCAGAGGGAGAAGCAGGTTCCCCGCTGAGCAAAGAGCCCAACCTTAGGCTCCATCCCAGGACCCTGGAATCATGACCTGAGCTGAAGGCAGACACTTAGCTGACTGAGCCACCCAGGCGCCCCAGTACTTACTAATTTTGTAAGCAGCAACTTATGTAATTGTATTGTTTTTAGTAGTTTTTGCAGTTGGTTCTCTAGGATTTTCAGGTATAACATCATATCAGTTACAAATAATAAGAATATCATTCCATGTTTTGTACTTTTTGTCTTGTTTCTCTTTTTTAGTTGCATTGTATTTTCAGAACAAGATTAAATACTTGGAATGATAGTGGGTACCTTATTTTGTTCCTTACTTTACTGAGAATGCTTTTAGTGTTTTTGCCACACTGGTTATTTTACTAAGGTGTGCGTTGTTGCTATTTGTTTTTTTAATCAAAAATGGTTGTTGAATCTTATGAAATGCCATTTTAGCATCTGTGAAATTATCATATAGATGTTCTTCCTTGACCTGTTAGCATGAATTATAGTAACAGGAGCGCCTGGGTGGCTCAGTTGTTAAGCGTCTGCCTTTGGCTCAGGTCATGATCCCAGGGTCCTGGGACTGAGCCCTGCATCTGGCTCCCTGCTCCGCGGGAAGCCTGCTTCTCCCTCTCCCACTCCTCCTGCTTGTATTCCCTCTCTCACTGTGTCTCTTTCTGTCAAATAAAGAAATAAAATATTTAAAAATATGTGCATTATAGTAACAGCTTTTATGTTATTGAATCATCTTATTACTGAATCATCAGTGAAAACTCTGTTAATGTGTAGCCAGATTCTATTAATATTTTACTTAGTCATTTTACATTGTTATTTGTGAAACTAGTTTGTAATTTTTTTTTTAAAGATTTTATTTGTTTATTTGACAAGAGATAGCACAAGTAGGCAGAGTGGCAGGCAGAGGGAGAGGGAGAAGGAGGCTCTCCACTGAGCAGGGAGCCGGACGTGGGGCTCGATTCCAGGACCCTGGGGTAATGACCTGAGCCGAAGGCAGCCACTTAACTGACTGAGCCACCCAGGCGCCCCTGTAATTTTGTATTTTTAACGTAATCTTTATCAAGTTGTTTTAATGCTTTCCTTAGCTTTATTAAAAGCTTTCTCCGCTTTAGCCTATTTAAATACTTTTGAAATGATCTGTTTCTTTAAATTTGATGGAATTCCCCTGTAAAACTACCTAAGCCGGGTGCTTTTTTTTAGATTTGCTGTCTCTTTCTGGGTTTAGTGTTGATTTATACATTCATAGAAAATCATCTGTTTTATCCAGCTTTTGCCTCTGTATCTGGGACTGTTATCCCTGTCCTGTTCCCTAATTTTGTGTGCTTACATTTTTTTCCTTTTCTCCCCTTTAATTATTTAGACTAGCTAATGGTATATCTCATACACAGATATACACTGAAGTATTTTTTCTTTGAAAAAAATCTTTTTTTTCCCCCCAAATAAAAATTTTTTTTGTTAATTCTGAGAGACCAGGATATTGCTGAAGGTTCTGGAGAAGTAGAGAGAACATCTTCCATCTGAAAGGAGCTACTGAACCTCTCCTGTTGCTGCCCGTGGCAGGAATGTGGCCCTAGGGTGGCCAGATCATCCGGTCTCTCGAGAAGAGTAGCTGGGTGTGTGTGTGTGTTTGTGTGAACTCAAACTTTGTAAACGTTGCAACTAATTCAGATAAAAACAATAACTTTGGAGTAAGACAGAACAAAACATTTTTTGTTTTTTAAAATTTCTGGGTTGGTCGTTTTTAAAGGTAAATGTTTAACTCATGTGTTGACCCTGAACTCCCTGAGAGGAGGGACTAGATATTACTTTTTACAGTATCTGGTAATTTTTGGCAAACAAGGGATTTGCAGGCATTTCCTGTTTTTTTCAGTAACCCTGGAGTTCT